GGACTTCTGACTCATTCCCACCCATCGCCCCACCTGGGGAAGGCTTCACATGACAGTTTTATATTTCCTCATTTAAAAAGACATTAGGAAAGCTATCTTACTTAGGTAAGCAACCAGACAGGGCACCGGCAATTACTCTGTATTGGCAACTGCACACCTTCACTACCTGGTGTGGAGGTGTGAGCTCACAGGAAGAGCATTTCCAACACCCCGGATGTGTTCAGGGAGGTGCACCCTGCAAGAGGGTGTTACTTTCTAAGGTCTTAATAAAAGCATTTTCTTTATTAGTTGCCTCCTGTGAGCACACAGATGGCAGCACCGATGCAAGAGGTATTCCCTCCAAACCTTGGACAAAGATGCTTAAATAAAAAGAAGTGGGAGGTTTGGATTTTTTTTTTTTTTAAACAATATCTCAAGGGAACAGCTTTGTTCCTCAAAAGGAAAAAAAACCCTAACGGGCTGAACAGGAGAGCAAATGAACCATCAGTTGCAACAGAGATAAGGTCCTAAAAACAACCAGTAAGAGTCCTGTTATGAGTTGATTAAATGTGGGAGTGAGTATCTGGGGCAAAATAACCTAGATGCTGCCAACCCATCCCAAAGCGTTTTTAATTTTGCTGCATACCCTCACCAATATCAGCACAGCCTTTGAAAGAAAAGACTATGTTGCATAGGTGAGGTTATGCACACTATAGGGTCACTCCACAGCCCTCCGTGGCACTTTTTTTTCATATGGGAAGTTTTAAGTAACCACATCCAACTCCACAAGACCTTCACATCAGTCACCTCCATACATAAGGAACTGTAGCCACGTAACACAGGCATTTACAACAGACTGAACTTGGGCTTTTTAGGGTCAGGGCAGAAGACTTCTGCAGCTTAAGTTCATAGGTCTTCAAAAACACTTTTGATAGTTTTTGGAAGTTAACACAAGAAGGGTCAGACCACACCTGAGGGCCACAGCAGTCAAACCCTCAGACAGGGGCTTCAATCACTTTCAGTTATCACAGAATACGTCTGAGATATGTTCATCAACACCCCTGGGACAAATCTTGCCATGCAGCTACCTCTGTGCAGGGGAACGAGAGGCGTACCTCTCGACAAGCAGCAGCACAGTGAAGGCTAATTCTGTAAGATACCAACATGCCCTGTATCTTCCAAATTCAGATCATAAAGCGGTGTTTTCCGGAGGCTACTGACAGAGACATTTATCAAGGTAAAGATTACAGTGCTACCTAAGCCAAAACTAGCAGTAACATTTGTCATCAGCTGGAGGCTACGGATGAGACACGCTCGCTTTTAGAGTAGAAATTTAGTAGTAAGGATATCATAATACCAGGAACACATAAAACTAGTTCAGACAGAAAGCTGGTATGACCTTGCTCTAAGCATCTAGTGTGAATTATAGGTGCCCAAGGAAAGCAAAGGACACCAAAGCAAGGTGCATCTGTTGTGATGGTTTACCTTGGACTCTTGTGAAGCCCACTTTCTCACACCAAGACAGGGCACTATCAGGACAGTGGTTTTAATCCGCTGTCCATTCTGTATGGATGCGAAGACCTCTTTTGTTTTAGGAGCCAGAAACACATCAGCCACTTGGTTTTAATTACATGAAAATTGAACTCGATGCTACATTAACTTTAACTTTTACTCTAAAGAGAAGTAGACTGGAAAGAGTATTCAGGAGGGAATGGTTAGACTAACAGCTGTCATATATGACTGTTCTTTGACAGGAACAGCAAAAATTAACCATGTCAGCCATCCCCAGCAGAAACGACCTGGGTAGCAGTTTCCCAGTAGGGAAAGGACCATCCTGACAACCGCAGAGCTCAGGTTCTGTAAGCGAGATTCCACTTAAATGTAAAATACACCCTTTTCCTTCTTTAATAAGGATTTATTGTATTTAGGTTTAGTCAGTGTACCAAAACCTGATTTAGCAAGTAGCAAAATAAGATTTACTTTATACTCATATTTGTATAGGTGAGAGATGATTTTGTGGTACGTAAGCCCATAATCTTAGGAGAATAACAGCAGTTTCAACTTCCCCTCCTGCTCAGCTGCTGCAACCCAAATAATGCTATGATTTGCTACACTAAATTCTGCTAGGGAGGAAAAAAAAAAAAAAAAAAAAAAAGTTATTCCATTAAAAGAATAACAGCAGTTTCAACTTCCCCTCCTGCTCAGCTGCTGCAACCCAAATAATGCTATGATTTGCTACACTAAATTCTGCTAGGGGGGAAAAAAAAAAAAAAAAAAAGAAGTTATTCCATTAGAAGCAGAAACAAACCTGGAAAGTCATTTTAATGAACTCTTGTTCGATGCCTAAGGGTCATTCTGGTAGGCAGTATAAGCAGTAATGTCAGCTGTGTGCTCATAATGAACGAGTTACTTGACAGAAGTTTAAAATCAAGCAAAAGGTCAGTCCTATCATCCAAAATTTATACAGCAATACGGTTTACAAACATTTGCCTATGAGGACATAAAATCCCTCCCCTGAAAACAAAACCTAATGGACCTAATGGTTGTGCCCTGTATAATCATTCTGACAACTGCCCTAGTTGTGTTTTCTGCAAAGATAGAAGTTTCTCACAGGCCGATGCCCCAGCCGGCTCCAGAGCTGGCAGCATCCCTGCCTCTGGCCAGCACCCAGCCCAGCACATCTTCTCAGGCAGCAATGTTAAACTTCACCTCTTTGCTGCAGGGTTTGGATCCCCAAAACAGTAATGCCATGGAGTAATGCCACTGCACAGTATGGCAATGAAAGCGCACTCAGCATTAGCTTATAGATTTCTGTATGGTACTCCACAGCAGCATATATTTATCTTTTGGGTACGGAAGATGTTTCTATATGCATTTAGATGCACCAGATTGTCTCCTTTCTTGTAGGCAAGTCCATCAGACGTGCTCTGATACTGCAAGTTAGCACTGACCATTTCTGTGAAGTTCCTCTGGCAGCATCGCAGCCCATCACGTATTCAGTAAGTGCCCTCACTACATGTCAGTTTCTGAACCTTCCTGTATTTTCATCTCATTAATGACAGGTTTATGGCAGGGAACTTTCTGGAGATTGTTTGACAGCAAAACACGTTCTGTCAACTAAAGATACACTCTTTTCCTGCACTAACACAAGCCAGGAAGAAAAATACGTTGATACTTTTGCAATATCTTAGGAGACATATTTCGATTTTGCTGGTATCTGTATAAATTTAAGCTATGAATGAATGGAAGTATGACTAGTCAGGAAACCTTGCTTAGCAGATCTTTATTAATTTCTTTAAAAATTAAGAACAGGCTTCAGCAAACCCCTTACGATCCAATCTTCTTTCATGCCAATACCACTTGATTTTCTGTTCTTCTTTTTCCAGGAATCACAGTGAGGATTTTAAAACGTGCCATTCAGTTTGAAGGAAAAGAAGTGTTTATCTGGCCATAGCACTGAACCTTAAGCAGCCAGAAGGTGTAATAAATAAATAAATCAATCGATGTTACTAAGCACAGGCACTAGAAAGGGCATTCAGTGTGAAGAAAAAGCAGTGTTTATCTGGCCACAGCACTGAACCTTAAGCAGACAGAAGGTGTAATAAATAAATAAATCGATGTTACTAAGCACAGGCACTAGAAATCGTTTATACTAAGAAAGTTTGAATTCGGGGAGTTTTAAAGCCATGTATATTATGACACTATATGCCATCACACCAAAGCTTTTAAACACATCTGAAAAAAAATTAACCTTCCAGAAGCGAACTCCAAGAAGAAACAGTTGGTAAGGAGGTAACTGGTGTAAATCGTTTATACTAAGAAAGTTTGAATTCGGGGAGTTTTAAAGCCATGTATATTATGACACTATATGCCATCACACCAAAGCTTTTAAACACATCTGAAAAAAAATTAACCTTCCAGAAGCGAACTCCAAGAAGAAACAGTTGGTAAGGAGGTAACTGGTGTAAGTTCATCACTGAAATAGGGTGCACCACTGCAGCTGCAGCACTGGTGTCATTGAAACAAAACATTTCAGTCAGCTCTTGTACAACTCAGCACATCCTCGTTGCACCAACATTTTAAAGGAGACAGTAAAAGAGCCAAGTAGTTGACTCAATTGACAACTGGCTATACAGAAGACCAAGTAAAAAACTCAGCACACATCTCTGCTTCGTAGCCATGGGTCTTCCAGTTCACACTTTCCAGCTTTTTACATGTTTGTATTTACAGCAGTAAGATAAGCGTGTCCCACTAAGGTATTATTATTGTCCTCAGCTTGTGAATAAGGACACTAAGCAATGGGAAACAGTATTAAAAATAACTCCCTAGGAAATTAAAAATAATTTGAAATCTTAAGATAAATATGGATTAGTTGCATCATATTGAGCAACAGTATCACTGCATCATCCAAAAAGGCAGACAGTGACAAGGAACAACCGAAGAGCATTAGTGTAAAACTGCAATATTATTATTAAGGCTTTTAACATGGAAATAATAAAAACCAATCCCCTCCTTGAGTATGTGATCAAGTGTAAAACCCTTTCCATCTTTGACCCAACATTTCAAGGCATTTTCGAACTTTTACATGTTTGTCACCACGTTCACAGATGAGAAGCAATTCATCATACTCAAACTGAAACCCATTCTTCTATGTAGCTACATATTCTCTCATTGTGCTGCCCAAGGAAATACATCTATTTAGTATCCCTGGGGGTAAAATAGTATCTCTTCTCTTCTGAGCAAGAACACAAGCCACGTTCACAGACAAGAAGCAATTCATTATACCCATTCTTCTATGTAGCTACATATTCTCTCATTGTGCTGCCCAAGGAAATACATCTATTTAGTATCCCTGGGGGTAAAATAGTATCTCTTCTCTTCTGAGCAAGAACACAAGAAAGAGTAAGTCACAGACACCGGCATCAGAGGCTTAGCTTCTCTCTGTCAAACAAAGTGATCAGTTCAAGTGTTGGTCAATTCATTCTCTTTGAATTTGGATTACAGGTCAACAATAGCTTTACCTGCATAATGTACGGGGATTTCTATCTTTGGCCCTATGACGTAGTGACCCTCCTCCAGACTGTGAGCTGTAATTGTTGTCCACTGCCGACATGAATGAATCAGAAGATAATCGCTCTCTCGAAGGCCTTCTACAGCTTCTCCTGTAAAAGAGATGTAAATTATTTTTTTTTCTTTAGGAAAAAAATAACACTTATTGCATGAAGAATTAGGAAAACTTCAAAACAAGCATTTTATTCTTACTGATATTTATTTTTAGATTTTTGAATATTTTAAAATCCATTCATTTTTGCAACATAAGCACTCTGTCTTACAGAAAACCAACATAAAGCAAAACAACTCAGTGCCTGAACACAATACCACAGAGATATACTCCAGATTACTCAGCAGTGGCTCTGGGGCTCCTTTTTCAGCTTTCTGCATAACCAGACTTTTCATAGCTCTAAATATGTCTGCCTATCTCACTCAATATGAATACTTGAGAAATCTTAATTTTTAAATAAGGGAAAAAAAGTACCTTTCCATATGGTGAAAGATCAGCATCATACTACCCTACAGACACCTGAAGCCAAATCTTGTTCATCACTATGGGTATCACACTTGCAGACGCAAAGGAATAGAATGACAAAGCTGAAATCTCTGTAAGTTACTGCTTAATTAGCCATTCCTATATCTGTAAACGTAATCCTGCCACTTAAGGAGAAAAAAAAAATAATAAAAAATAATTAACACACACGGAAGTCCTCTCAGAGACAAATTCAACCAGAAGCCTCTCCAGATCTATCTTTGTGGTGCCTTTTGTTGTACTGTGGTGCCTGCCCAACCCATCCCAAACACAGCTGGAGATCCAGCTCTCCTTTCCTACCCTCTCCCTCACAAGGAAGTCCTCTCAGAGACAAATTCAACCAGAAGCCTCTCCAGATCTATCTTTGTGGTGCCTTTTGTTGTACTGTGGTGCCTGCCCAACCCATCCCAAACACAGCTGGAGATCCAGCTCTCCTTTCCTACCCTCTCCCTACCAAGTCCTCTGCATTTTCACCATGTTCCCTCCCCTCCTCCACTGCCTGCAGTGCTAGAGTGCTTTGCTTGGCTCTCCAGCAATTAAGAGCCACATTGGATAGACGACTCAAAGGGCCACCTATACATCTCAAGCATGATATATGACCAAAATTTCATAGAACCGGACGTATTGTGGCAGACTGCTCTTAGATACCTGCAGTCAGCTCAGGCTGTTTGCTGTGTGTTTAATGCAGAAGTGTACTTTCTCAAGGTGTCTTTAAAGCAGCCACATGAACTTTCAGCAACACTTGGTAGACATTAAACGTGGGCCAAGAATAACGAAGCTTTAAATTTCATTTTCCCTCTCTCCCCCCAGCCCTCTGCTGCCACAGCCAAAAATAAAGCAAGTAGTTTAGCCCTGGAATCAAGTTTGGACAAAACCCATCCCTTTCAGCTACTACAACAAACTGCACTTTCTCTTCACTATCCTCTGATATTCTTAAAAGTCAGTGGAAGAACGAGACTTTCCTCAGCCTGGGGCAGCAGACATTTCCCCTGTTCAATCTCTGCAGAGGAGAGATACTTCCACATCGAGCTTTTTTTTTTTTGCCCACACCAGGCAATCTTTTCCACCGTAGGCAATGGGTACTACACACCCCATTCCTGCCTGATTTCATGCTCCCATTCTATCAGAAAGCACCCTCCTACACGATTCAAAACGCGGCAACTGGTGTATATGAGAGAATTCTTAGATTTTAAATCAGAAGAGACCATTACGACCACCTGCTCTGACATTCTCCGGCCACAGGATTCTGCTCATTTTCTCCAGAAACTTGGGTTTGGCTAAAAGTGAGAAATACCCCTCCCAAACTGCCTGCAGAGTCCAGGGGATGGACTTCCTTCAGTCTGCTGTCCCATGGCCCATTAAAGCTTCAAAAAAAGTTCCTGTTTTGCACATTTGGGGCTTGAACTTTTACCTGTGGATAAACTGCTGTTATGGGAGTGCAGATGGAAAACAACACAAAAAAAAATAATAAAAAGAAGGTATACAGAGCTCCTGAGTACTGGCTATTCTTGCTCCTACAAAGGTATAATTTCTAAGTTTCCTTCTTTTCCACAGAAAGTAGCTTCCAGGTAACAAGGACATTTGAAGACGTGGTTTCCAAGTGCTCTCCTTGGACCACAGTCCTTGGCAGCCCGGCCAGGCAGACAGGCTGCTTGACACTAGATACTGCTCCCTGAGAAGCACCAACCCTCCACCCACAGCGTGCTGGGAGAAGGGACCTCAAAAAGCCTAGGGAAGGGAGGCAAAACAGCTCAAAGAACCCTTTGGTCCCTTCCATGTCTTTAAGTAAATTCAGATGTATTTGACAGAGGGGCCATGCACACACTAAATGTTACCAAGTCATTCATCTCCTATTTTCTATTCACAGAGCAACTCCTAATATGTATCATAAAGTATCTTCAGCTTGTGTCAACGGAGGGTTACAATTTTGGGGAAAACACAGTAATAATAATACATGGTGTTATTTGAAACTCATGTTTCAGTTCAGAGAATTACACTCATGCTTTCTACAATCCATGGCAACAACCAATTATTCCATCCCACAACAAAATAAAACCAATGACACCTAAGGGAAGAACCAGTATTCTACTAGTTTCACTGACAGTAGTAAACAAATTCTGAAGAAAATAGCATCTCTGGTATGCTTTTTCTCTGCCTCATGGTTTGTAGTTATAATTTCAGAACATTACCTAAAGGAAAGCTGGATTCTATGTCCCAGGTTGCAGGGAAATAATTACAGTATGGGTCATCCTTGAGGAGTCTGACAAAGATATTCTCAGGAAAATAAAGACACCCATGATGAAAAGAAGCTTCCAGTCATGGCTCACATGCCACGATCTGTTTAAGTGGTAACTCCACTAATACTGGGTGGGACAGGTGAGTGTAAAGAGATTACTAAGGCAGGCCCAAAAGTGACTACATAATTAAATCTGCAGCTGGAAGTAGCTGTATTTTTTAAACAGAACCTTGGAAACCACAATTCTTGTTACATCAATGATTTGCTCCAACCGATTACGCTGGAAATGAATGTCATGTTTTGCCACGGGAGTCTGAGCCGAGGAGAGGAGGTGGGGCTGATGCAATGGGGAGGACCACGCTCCCTCCGGCTCCCTCCCAGCAGGCAGGTCTATCCACACCAAACCCTGATCTTTCCTAACCATGGGCGAACCGAATTCCTGAGGCTCTTTTATAGGAAGAGGCACCTTGTCACCAAAGGGATTAATGGACTTGCAAAAACACCTGGCTAATGATGGCCCACGCCATGGGGAGGGAAATACAAGGAAGAGTCAAATGTGACTAAGGACAAGATATGGCCATACATACTCTCTTCCTTCTAGTCTGTCTCCCCCCCATAAGTCTTGCTCATTGTCTCCTGGAGAGGAGGACCCTTCAGGCAGGAGACAACCTCTGACCCCAGCTACACGGCACAGCTCCTGGCCCAAGCACAGCCCAGACTTACCCCTTTATGCTTTTCTCAGCCAACCGTACCTTGCAAAACAGCCACACGTACCCAATCTCATTTTTTCCTCCCTGTCTCAGTAACACAAGTTATGCAAGCCTTTCATTAATCACGTTTTAACTGTGTGGGAGAGGACTCGGCAGCCCTCACATCCACCAACTATGCAACTGGGTTCTCACCTATTCAACATACTCCCACACTGCTGCTTACACAAAAACCAGGCGCCATGAGAAAACCGAGAACACAAGGCCACTCATCTTTAGTAACAGTTTTGTCTCTTACGATCAAATATGGATTAGCTCTATCTTCTCGCCCTCTCCTCCCCACCCCACATGCCTGAAATATAATTAAACCACTACAAAGAATCTACAGGCAAATACTTGAGTTGTTTTCTTCCCCCTCGAACAAAAACCGTAGAAGCAATGAATTATCACATGCAAGTCCCCACCCCTCCCCAAATTGCCAACCTCTTTCCAAAATATGAGTCAAGTTTATTCATAATAATGCCCGAGACTAAGAAACCCGTGATTCTCTAACAGTGCCTAAACCCTAAATAAAGGGTCAACACCCATCCTTGCCTGACAATAAAAGCCTCACACCTCCAAATCAAAATGTTAGCACTGGTATGTTCCTACACAAGCTGTCCTCCTGTAAGCACTCTGACCACAAGCAGCATTTGGGCTACTTCATCATGAATCACCGAAGCAGCACCATTCATGTGTTCATTGCAAATAAGATGTATTACCATTTTTAATTACATGTTCCATTTCCACAGAACTCCACAAAACTACAAATACTGCAAAGCCCACCATTGTTGAAAGCCAACTGCAGAGGGAACGCTGACCACGAAAGCAAAATTGTTCACATGTTGATGGAGTCAACAAAAAGGTAATTGCTTAATCAAGATTCCCATGCTTATTAAATACCACCTACATTAAACGTCAATACTTCTTTAATAATTCTTCCCAGTTCCAAAACTGGATCATCCACATTTGGCAAATCTTGGCTCTGTCATTGTAAACACTCCAATCTCCAATTAACAGTTAACAGCGGTAGCAAGACTGGGAGCAGGATACCTCGATCTACAAGTTCGGAGATGAGTTTCTGTTCTTGCCTGCAATTTTTAAGAACCAGGTGATAAAACAGAGGTTGGTTATACGCAGGAATCAAGTTTGTATATGGCAATGCTGCGGCACAGAAGGAAGCCCATTTCTTTTGAAGCGAGCACTGACCTCCCCTGCAGGTTGTTGCCACCACTTACTTTCTAAAGATGCACAGTTTTACATAGTTTAGCATTTCACAATTTTCAAAAGTCTTGGGGTAAAGCCTCAGGAGTAGAGTTTTGAAGGGTCTGAGCACTCCCACCTCCACTTCCTTCTGGATCAGCAATTACAGCTTGGCCCCTTACAGTCTATAAAAGAAAATTCACGCAGGTTCTATGTATTCTGGTTTGCCAAAGACAGCAATGACTTTTCAACACCAACCACTAAAGAAAAATCATGAAACAAATGTAAAAAAAACCCAAAAAACCACCACCAACTTTTAAGGTTCTCCTCCTAGTATTGAGGAACTAACATTCAAGTCACTGCAAAATGTGCAGGCCAACGTGACTCATTCAC